ACACCTCAGCATTGTCTCTGACATCTGGCTGCCACTCCAGGAAGCTGAAAATCTGGTAGCTGAGGAACGGAAAAGAACTGGAGAAGGTCCTGATAGTTTCAGGATGAACTGTCTCCGGGTGTGATGGAAGTGGGAAGTGGCCCTGTTCTTCCTCAGAAACCGTTCGAAACCAGCGGGTGGTGGGCTGTGGGACTTGCAGCAGGGCCTCTGACAAGCATGCACTCCCCTATCCTGGGGCTGCGTGCGTGTGCGTGCGTGCGTGCGCACTCCCCTATCCTGGGGTTGCGTGCGTGTGCGTGCGTGCGTGCGCACTCCCTATCCTGGGGCTGCGTGCGTGTGCGTGCGTGCGTGCGCGTGCACTCCCCTATCCTGGGGCTGCGTCTGTGTGCGTGCGTGCGCGTGCACTCCCCTATCCTGGGGCTGCGTCTGTGTGCGTGCGTGCGTGTGCACTTCCCTATCCTGGGGCTGCGTGCGTGTGCGTGGTGCGTGCGCACTCCCCTATCCTGGGGCTGCGTGCATGTGCGTGCGTGCGTGCGTGTGCACTCCCCTATCCTGGGGCTGCGTGCGTGTGCGTGCGTGCGTGCGCACTCCCTATCCTGGGGCTGCGTGCATGTGCGTGCGTGCGTGCGCGTGCACTCCCCTATCCTGGGGCTGCGTGCGTGTGCGTGCGTGCGTGCGTGCGCACTCCCCTATCCTGGGGTTGCGTGCGTGTGCGTGCGTGTGCGTGCACTCCCCTATCCTGGGGCTGCGTGTGCGTGCGTGCGTGTGCACTTCCCTATCCTGGGGCTGCGTGCGTGTGCGTGCTTGCGTGTGCACTCCCCTATCCTGGGGCTGCGTGTGTGTGCGTGCGTGCGTGTGCACTCCCCTATCCCGGGGCTGCGTGCGTGTGCGTGCGTGCGTGTGCACTCCCCTATCCTGGGGCTGCGTGTGCGTGCGTGCGTGCGCACTCCCCTATCCCGGGGCTGCGTGCGTGTGTCCTCCTAGAGCAGCAAGTGAGGCCCCGTGCGTGCTCACTGGGAGCACGGCCCTGATGGGAGGGCTGAGCTGCTGTGAACACATCACCTGATGTCTGCCAGGGGCTTGCCTTGATGACACACTCCTGGTGACACACACTCACTGGCACTCACTCCCGGAAGCCCCAAGTCCCACCCAGGCTCCAGCCCCAATCCCTGGGCGTCCAGAGTGCTGCCCTGTGGGGCGGGGCTCAGTGGATCCAAAGGGCCAGGCAACCGGCCAGGTGTCGGACCCGGTGACCAGTGGGCACTCAGAAGCCGTTCAAGGGCCCTTTGTGCAGCCTGCGTGCCCTTGGATGGCTGAGCTGGACGCAGGGCTGAGGCCAGCATGGCAGGGGCTCTGGCTGGACTGGAGGGCAGGTGGCAGCACCCGGGCCAGGCCAGCGGCAGGGTGACAGTCCC